AAAGTTTATAATTATTTAAGTGCATTATCATTCATGTTAAAGCTTTACTGTCCTTAAATCCCTGCTTGGTTAAAAGTCATGCCCAACCCCACAAAACAGTCATTATATAGCCATTATAAGAGTTTTATAATAGCTATTATAAAGTCTCATTTACAGGCTGTTGCCTGCCTCCTGCATTGTGATTTGCCAGAAGGTGACATGAGGTTTTAAAGAATGGCATTCAATATCACTTCTCCCATTAGAATGGAAACACTTTGGCATAATATTTAATATATGACACAAAGAAGAATGACACATTAATTGCAGGACACATAACTATTTTTGGGCTATTTTAGGAAACAAATAACTTTGGAAAGGTTACAACCATTTTTGGATGCAAGTTTGTTTTACAACAACTGGTATTTGAGATAGCATTTAGTGTTATTCATGTTTATTACTGGAAATCTGCACCAGTTCAGAGTGGGAAAATACCACCAAAAAAAAAAAACACCTCTACCTAGGTAAACTAGGGGAGAACCAGGGTGAGAATGGAACAATATCACCTGAGCTAAGTTATGACTAATAACTCAAACAGTTTAAATTGAAATATTAGAATATAGTAAAGCACAAGATATAGAAGACAAGTTTTAAAGTGCAACAGCATTATGTCTAAATCTGAACAAACACTTGATGCAATATATCCTGTCATACAGCTCCATCTTTTTCACCTTTAGCCATGAAAGGTACAGAAGACAAAACAAACTGTATTGACATGTACAGTTGAATAATACTTCACATTCTCCATATCTCCACATGTCGTTCTTCCAGCATCTACAACAGATCTGTTGCTACAACAGAATAAAAACATTACAGCTTTAAATATGGACTATAGTTGAGAATGTGAGCCACTGCCACTTATCACTTGTAGAAACATGAGCATTAAGGGATGTCTCTCAGCACCACAAAATGCTTGAGAGGCATAATCTTCAGAGGAGACAGACTGCACATGCTGTGGAAGAAGGGAAAGACCTTCCCAGTGAACTGGTGTGAGAACATGTGGATAATGTCATTACTGGCAGGATCTAAGAACCACACCTCCCCTAAATCCATGTCCAGACGAATTCTGACCATCTGGGGTTTGGCAACCATAGTGAGAGGAGTGTACACTTCCAAAGGGGATCGAGCACACAGCTTTTGACCATCATACCCAATACCCCAAGCTCCTCTGGGAAAAACATTAGGTTCTTTTCTCTGAACAGTCTCAGTGGTCACACCGAGCATCCAGAAGGTGCTGTTTCCCACCTCAACATCCCAACAGTGCAGCCCCGAAGAGAAGCCCTCAGACCCCAGAACACACAAACTCCTAAACCGCTCAGGAGTGTCCAAAACTGGAGGTCTCGGCATGTCAGTCTGGTCTTCGTGGTCATCATCACTGTCTCTCACGCTGGTCAGATCCGGGGACAGGATGAGCTGCGAGTGAGCTGTGTTTGGATCCAAAACAACAGGAGCTGAGGAGACAAATCACAATTAGTGTACCTTACAGAGCCAATCTTTACAAGAGCCAATCTTTCAATCAATTTTACCCAGAGCACCATCATTATTTCAGAAAAATAAAATCCTGTATTTAGACCAATTTGAACATATATGTTGAAAATACTGAGGTTACTGTCTGTGTGGAGTTTCACATGTTCTCTCCATATCTGTTCCTCTCATCTCCCAAAAGCAAGCTATGCTAAACTGTCTCTTGGTGTGAATGTGTGTGTCCTTGGTGCCCTGCAATGGACTGGTATACCAAGTAGAGTGTATTCCTGACCAGCGTACCACTATAACAAAATGTAAAAAAAAAAAAAAAAAAAAAAAAATCATGGACCCCACTTTGAGAAATGTAGCTGTACACTAAATGGCCAAATGTATGTGGACACCTGACCATAACACCCATATGTGCTTTTTAAACATCAGATTCCAGAGTTGGACAATCCCACCCCCCTTTGCTGCTATAACAGTCTCCCCACTTCTGGGAAGGTTTTCCACTGGATGTTGGAGAGTGGCTGTAGGGATTCAGCTACAAGAGCATTAGTGAGTTTGGACACTGATGTCAGGCGAGAAGGCCTGGTGCGCAGTCCACATACCAGTTCCTGCCAGAGGTGTTCAGTGGGGTTGAGTTCAGAGCTCTGTGCAGGCCACTTGAGTTCTTCCACTGCAATCTTGGAAAACCATGCTTTCAATGGAGTGCTCTTTGTGCACAGGGGCATTGTCATGCTCTAAAATGTTTGGGGCCCTCTAATTCCAGTAAAATGAAATCTTAATGCTACAGCATACAAAGACAATTGTGTACTTCCAACTTTGTGCCAGCAAAGGTGTGCTCAGGTGTCCACTTACTTTTGGTGTAAAGTGTTAACAAATAATGTGGCTTTGATAAACAGATGACTCACTGTATTTAATAGCGGTCTGCATTTTGTTCCAGACTCTGAACTGTAGATTACCCAGGTACTTTGCAACATCAATCACTTCTTTTGAAACCAATTTTGAATCAAGGTTCTTCTTCACACTGGAATTTGAATCTCTGCCCTGAGTCCTGAAAAAAAAAAAAATCAAGGGTCAGAGCTGCAGTAATCCTGGGAACCCATTCCTTGAATCCCCGAAGAATGTCTGGTTACAAGAAAGTTACTTTTGAAACCATATACAGTGTTAATTTTATGGCATCTATTTGGTTATCTGTCAGCAGAAAGTTCTGCCTTTCCTTATTCCAGGTAGTCCCTCATCCCATGTCCCCCAACAGTGAGGGAAGGTAGAGACGATAGTGGCTCTGTTTGGATTCAGAAGCGTGAATAAAGATAAATAAAATAAGAAGCAAAAGAAATTGAACTTACTTTGTCAGATACTTCTTAAGGTCATGCTAAAACATGAAAAAAGTAGGAGAATTAAAGAAGGAACTATGTGTTGTAAGATCACGTTATTAGTTCTAATGTGTAGTAAACAGGAATGGGACAGGTAAAGAAAGAAACAGGAAGAGGACAAGAAAGAAAGAAAGAAAGAAAGAAAGAATACCGACCTTCAGGAATTTGATGTCTTCAGATTGTAAATCATTTTTTATGACTTCAATAGTGCTTAAGATAGACTGTTTCTTTTGTCTGATGTTTTTTATTTTGTTTTCCACCGTCTGCAATTTCTCCTGCACCTCCTCCTCCAGTTTGCTCACCATGGCTACATTTTCCGCCATTAGAAACTGCACAAGTTCCTGAATCTCGACATTCATCTGATTCTTTATGTACTCGGCCTGTTGCTGACATAATTACCACAAGCACCAGTAAGTCGAGAAGATACGTGTTGTACATATCGAAGATCACTTTACTATCATATCACATATTAAATCCTTAAGCAGGGTTACGCAAATCTCACCTTTATGTGATCTACATTTTGATGGCAATGAAACTGGAGATCTTCAAGGCTCTTCATTTTTAATTTCAATTTATTCAGTCCAGTTGTAAGAAAATGCTACAGTCAGAAATACATAATGTAAACTGTTTTCATGGATATTACTAGTTTAAACTAGAAGGCTATCAATGCCTACCTTTTGTTCAGAAGCTGCTTCGTCGACAGGGATGAAGCGGTGCTGTAGGTGTTTGCTGGAATCTCTGCACACCAAGCACGCGGCCTGTCCGTCATTCACACAGAAGAGTTTCAGCTTTTCTCTATGGATGTCACAGAGTGTCTCGGGATCACCTCGGACCTCCAGGAAGGTCTGACACAGGTTTTTCAGAGCCAGGTTGATAGTAGGGATTCTAGCAGATCGTTTCCTGCAAAGTGGACATTCTCGGCAGCCTTTGACATCCCAGTACCGGTGAACGCAGCTGCTGCACGCGCTGTGACCGCACGACAGGAGCACGGGCTCCTTAAAGACATCACAACACACAGGGCACGTGAAGTCCTCTTCAGAGAAGGGACGTTTAGACGCCATAGCTAGAGACTCATCAGCTACACACTTACTAACGAGTTTATGTGGCTTCTGTTTCACTTTTCAGAAAACCTCAACGAAATTGTTCTTATTTCAGCTTCTTGTTCATACACGTTCTATGCTCTTAAACACCAACCTATTTTGAGAATAACTTGGAAAACCACACGTTTTACTTTCAGTTCCAGTTACCAGGGTTGCCAGGTTTTCATGACTTACTCATCTGGTTAGTAAAACCAGAACTAATTTGGAAGCACACAATTGTATAGAATGTCTTTGTATGCTGTAGCATCACAGATTCCCTTCACTGGAACTAAGAGGCCCAAACCTGTTCCAGCATGACAATGCCCCTGTAGACCAAGCGAGCTCCATGAAGACATGGTTTGCCAAGTTTGGAGTGGAAGAACTCGAGTGGCCTGCACAGGGTCCTTACCTCAACCCCAATGAACACCTTTGGGATGAACTGGAACGTCAGTGCCGGACCTCACTAACGCTCTTGTGGCTGAATGATCAAAAATCCCCATAGCCACACTCCAAAATCCAGTGGAAAACCTTCCCAGAAGAGTGGAGGTTATTATAACAGCAAAGTGGGAACTAAATGTATATTGTCATAAATAAAGAACTGCTTTGAGAATTATTGTACCATTTCATTTATACACAACTTCATAGAGCAATTTGGGAATCAATTCAAGAGGTGTGTATGAGAGAGAGAGAGAGAGAGA